TGATTGTGGCCCTGAATGATGCCAACAGAGTAATCACTGTTCGCGCTGTCTCCCTCTTTCTCAGTCTCTCTCTCTCTGTGTCTCTCTCCAACACTTTCGCTGGCTGTGTGTGCATGTGAGTCTGTGCAATCAATGAAATATCACGCTCTACCTTTATGCTTCTTTACAAATCTGTAAATAAAAACGTAAGACAGAATGCGAATGTGGTGTGTAGTCAACTAGGCGATACCCTGTAGCCTGTTGATGTAGGGAACTAGAGGAAAGATCTTAGGGAGAAGGAGAGAGAGAGAGAGAGTGAAAGAGACAGAGCGAACAGTGATTACTCTGCAAAGAAATGAAGGAATTATAAAATAAAGAGATTGAACACAGAAAAGTCTAGACTGCTGGTCCATATTAGATCAGGGGAAAACGGTTGGAAACAATTGAAAAAGAGAGAGGAGGTGTATTCTTATTTCTTCGCTTCTCTTCTTATGCAATGCAGACAGACATATTCACATCTTATTAAATAGGTAAATAACACAAATAATAATTAATAACTAGAAATAATTACTAGGAAACAGGTGTTTGGTATAAAGTCAACATGCTGTGGTATCAATCAATTACTTTATACTTCTCGAAAAGTTAATTACATTTTTAGGCTTACTAATTGAATCTAGTAAGCCAATCAATATTTTCTACTTCCAGTCCAGCCTACATGCCACATCGCCCATAAGCTTGCCCCGTAATTAACTTGTGCATCTTGTTTAGCCAGCCAATTGCTGTTTGCCAGTTTAATGCAATTTAAGCGCTTCAAGCGCATGAACACACACACACACACACAATTTCGAAGCTGTATTAACTTCATAAACTGCTCTCAAATGAAAATTGCGTGCTAGTAAGCTAGATAGCTTGTGCGAGAAAGTGCAGGCACTTTCCTGCTCACGTAATTAATTTTGAATTCATCACCGTGCAAACTGCCGCGCCCTCTTCATGCCCCTCCGCCCTTCGTATAGATAAAGGCCCGCATATTATGCTTTTGATGGATAAGAAGCATGGAACTGAGGATTATTCTCCCTTGGATTATTATGTTGCTGTCTTTGCTCTTGTTGTTGGCAACGAACATGTGCCTGCTTACCCCCCAACGCCCACCGCACCAACCCCAACCCGTTATTCTTATCATTTCCATGATTAGTCTGAGTAATTGACTTGGCCCAATGGTCACTCTTTCCCACTCTCTTTCTCTCTCTCTCTCTCTCTCTATCTCTCTCTGTATCTCCCTCTATTTATCTCTGTCTCTTAGCTGTAATCAGTCTAATGCAAATGCCGATTTGTGCACTTATGAACATTTTTCTGTTTCTTTGAGTGTGTGTGTGTGTTTATGTGTGTGTGTGAGTAAGTCTGTGGCTTAAAGCCACATAAATAAAATTGGGGTGGATTGCATAATCGTAATGCAGTTAGGAAAACATTTTCCCCGACTCCGAAATTGATCCGGTTAGGTTAGCTGATTAATTTGAGATTGTATTGCCTTTTTCATTCTGGCGTGGTGATTGTGTTCCGCTTTATAATCTGGGCATTAGGTAATGACATCTGCCAATTACCATTAACTAATCAAACTTTCAATTTCTGTGCGACCTGTGCAAATAATTAAGCTTAAAGCTAATGATAAAACTAAATTGTTGACGAAAAAGTTTCACAAGCAAAGCAACGAAAGCTCGCACAGATTTTTGGCCAAAACTCATTACACAATATGCCAGTTGAAACAAGGCAAAGGGCGGAGGGCAAAAGAGAGAGAGAGAGAGAGAGAGAGGGAGGCGTGTGTAGAGGAAAACCGAGAAACGAAAACTTTTTGCGACAACTGCACACAATGCAAAAATAATGTCAAATTGAAAACACAATCCACCCATTCCAAGCCTTTCCCCAATCCGTTTAGTTGTTACCCCCCAATCCGCCACCATCAGCGTAGCGTAGAGCAGGAAATAACGAAATAGGATAGAACAAAACAAAACAAAATGAAATGAAATGGAACAGAGTTCACCATGCAAACAAGAAATGCTTTCAGAACCCAAGGCGTTGCTCAATTTGGGGATTTCCTTTTACCGTATAGAGATGAGCACGTGTTCTATTATCTTGTTAACTTTGAGAATCGCAATCCAAAAAGAGTATTTTTGATTGTAGCCTTAGTCGCATAGTACTTAGATGGTACTCCATATCTAAAAAGCGCTGTAAACGCCTCTCGAAATGTTTGAGAGCAAGATTTTCGACGGTCAATGCTCAGATTAGAAAACTGCAATCTGCGAAACTTTTGCATCTGCATCTGCATTGTATTTTGACGGTCGCCGGTGAATAAATATTGTACGTATATCAATATCAATATCGATCTAGCGCTAATAAATATATAATATGAATAATTAGAGTCTATAATGTTTTTCAATAGAATAAACAACAAACAGAAATTTGAAATGATTATATTTGCAGAATTGTAATTTCATTTTCATTTAATTTGCAACTCTAATAAATAATTTTGAGTCGCTGGGCACACGATGTATTTTGAAGCTCGACAAATGAAATGACATTTTCGACATCGATCTTAGGACGAGGCTTTAGTTTTTCTGAACTATCCGGTAACATCGATATTAAAATGATTGAATATACGCTCATCTCAATCTCTGCGGCATTGTATGCATTTCTCTGCTCCAGCTGTCTGACATGTTTTTTGTTGTTGTCTACCAGTTTAAGATGAATGACTACCTGCCCGCAGCCCTGCTCCCCTGCTCTGTGGGCTTCTCAGTCGAGGGGCGTGCGGGGATGATGGGGGTGGTCTTTCAATTTGGCCAAGTTGCAGCTGTGGAGGTTGCATGCATAATGAAGATGGACGTCAATGGCAATCGAATTGTTTCATTCAGTCAAAGTTTTAAACAAAGATACCTCCCCTCCACGCTCCACCCCAACCAACGCATTTAACCGAAACCAAGCCGCAAGTTGCATTCGATAGCGAACAAAAGCCGAGTAGAACAAACAGGAAGTGGATGTGACTTTAAAATGCCACCCTGCGCGTGTTTTTGCACTGCTTTAAATCAAGCTCCACACACACGCGATATATATAGAGAGAGAGAGAGAGAGAGAGAGAGAGAGAGACAGACAGAGTGAGTGAGTGGAAACGAGAGACTCTCACGTGGCATGTGTGTGTGCCTGTGTTGACAGCATTGGAAACACTCTGCAACTTGGACTGTCAGCAGCAGCAACAGCAGCAGCAGCAGTAGCAGTAACAGCAACAACCTTCAAAACTTGCAACGCGCTTCGCTTGGCTGCCACATATGGCGTTTTTATAGCCACATTTTGCTGTCACTTTTTGTCCTTTTCTATATTTTTTGTGCACTTGTTGGCCTTGTTTTAAAAGCCAGCGGCCAGTTTATTGTCAAGCTGTTGAGCTGCAACCATTCCTTCTTCTCTAAATGATTTGCTATTGTTGCTGTTGTTGTTGTTGTTGTTGTTTGTGTATTTGTTCAAGTCTTGTACAATCGATAAATGTCATCTTAGCGATAATATTGTCATCGACTGTGCAAACATTTTGTTTCACATTTCTTATACATATATAAATACCTTTATTTTTTAAATTTAACTGATACTTATTTTTCTTAGTTCAATTTTTGTTAAAGAAAAATGTGAAATTGCCAGCATTCAACAACAGCAAAATAGAGTTTTTCATACTAGAACTCATCTTTCGACCGATTGTTCCTATATAAGTTATATGATATAGTGATTATATTCAGCCGGCTTCGACAGACTTTAATCCAATTTTGATTCAGATAGTTTTTAAAACTGGGACTAGTTGGCAAAGAAGCAGTCAGACGGACATGGCCATATCGACCAAGAATATAGATACTTCATGGGGTCAGAGATATCGCCTTCAATACGTCACAAACTGCACGACAAAGTTATAATATATTTACCATGGATATGAAAAAGTTCTTGTCAAAAAGTGCCGCAAAAAGATTCTCGATTTGAATTCTTACGTTTAACAAAAAGTTGTGTAGTATGTTAGTTATAAGTGAGTTATTGTTTAACGCTTAATTGGCTGTACTGGCACTCCGTTATGGTACTTTTGAACGACTTATACAGCAAACACTTTGATAAGTTTTATGCCTTTACAAATAATAATTCCGCCAAAAACACTTTGGCATGGCAACTTAGCCTGCTGCAAAAGGCAGCCCGAAACACATAATGGGCTTTCCAAAGGGGTGCAAGCAAAGTTCAAAGGGAGTGGCAGAGGCATGTGGAAGGGAGAGGCTTGTTGGTTGCCGGAATACCACAAAAGTTGCTTAGCTGCTTGTCGTGATTTTTGCTTTGTTGCTGCTGCTTCTGCTGCTGATGATGATGATGATGATGATGATGATGATGATTTCTATTCCTACCTGCAACGCACTGCGCGTCAGCCCCGACCCCGCCCCGACCCCGACACTCAACTCTTTCGACTATCCGCTGCACGAGCACTTTATGTTTATTTATTTTTTTTAAACCACTTCAAACAAGTTGCTGCTTTTTATAATTAAATTGAAAAATTTATGAGCAATTAAATGGAAAACTTTGCTTTGTGGTCCAAAGCCATGCAAAAGCCAATGAGCATCAAATCTAATAAGCATGTTGGAAATAAGGGTGTGGTCTACTAGACTAGCGCATACTCTATTGCCATACATCTTCAGTCATCCATTTTTGATACATTGAGTGAAAAATAGCGACGCAATTTAAAACATTTCTTAAAGAGCTTACTTAATTTTCTGGTTCTAACTAGGACTGTCTCGGTAATTTTAATATGCATTTTCGAATATGAATTTCAAAATACACAATCTAAAAGTGAAAGAGTTGCCATCTTAATATGCTTAAATTTTATTTTGTATATTATTATTATTTCTCTTTCCCTCTCCCCTCTCTCTCTCTCTCTCTCTCTCTCTTTCGCCCTATGTATTAATCTCTTTTTATATGTATATGTATTTAAATGGTCTAGAATTGTGAATCTATTTTAGATGGGCCGTATCAACGGTCACGACACGTCAGAATCTGGTGCCGCGAGAGCTGTCAACGGTTGGTGAAGTCGACCAGGTGTGTCAATTGGGTGGTTTTGAGGGAACGGAGATAAAGCGTGATGCGGAGACGGGTGCGAGAAATGCCCCCATATCGGCATTGATACCCTATTGGGATATGACGAATCATCGTTGCGGCAAGATAACCTCATATTATGACCGTGCCGCACAGCAGATGGAGTGCACCGCCCAAGAGGCATTCAAGGCTGGTGAGCAGTTCTTCATCTACTATGGCGATAGATCCAATGCCGATCGTCTGGTGCATCATGGGTATGTGTTGAGCAGCTCAGTTGTTCAATTCATAAATTTTGAATCCAAACATTTCGTTAACGATTTGAATTCATGATTTTGAAATGAATAAATAATAATAATTATAAATTATTGCATTCAATAATCAGATTTCTGGACATGCATAATTTGAAGGACTATGTGCAGATACGTTTGGGTCTGAGTCCAACGGATCCGTTGGTCGAGCAGCGTTCGCTGCTGCTGGCGGAGCTGAACATTGAGCGGAAGGCGGAGCTGCGCGTGCTGCCCGCACCGGAGCACATCTCCGGCGAGCTGTTGGCCTTTGTGCGTGTGTTTAATATGAGCAAGGAGCAGCTAGAGCATTGGTGCAGTGATCTGGAGCGTGCCGTCGATCTGCTGCACATTGATTGTGCCCTCGAAACGGACCTGGAGACGCGCACATGGCAGTATCTATACCAGCGGCTCAAACTACTGCTCGGTGTGCTCGAGGCGTCGCTGCACGAGGCGGATGAGCGACAGCAGCTGGAGGCATTGCAGCGGGAGCAAGTTGAGCAACCGTCGGCCAGTCGGGATATTGACATCATGGTGTTGCAGTATCGTCGCCTGGAACGTTGCATCCTCACCGATGCCCTGCAGTATGCTCAGGAGCGCCTGAAGGTCTAAGCGGTGCACGGGTGCACAAAACAAATAATACTAAATCAAGTGGCCATTTACAGCAGTCACCATTTATCATTTTAGTCACCATACAGAGACTACTACTATTGTCGCGAAGCTAAGAAATGAGCTGAAACGATAAATTCAAAAACACAAAAATTGGGTTTCCATTTTGTGTCTTAATGCCTGCGGTGTATTTTTTACATTTATTTATTTTTGCGAAGCACAAAACTGTTTTTTTTTTCTATTTCTTAAATTATTAATATATTTGTTTTAACGTGAACTAATTGTGGACAATTTTAAAAAGATTTCGAAAAAATCTGCATAAAATTGTTACCTTTCATTTTCATTATTTTTAATTTTTTATTAAGATAATGTCATTTAATAATTGTTTTAAGTTTGTTTTTTGAACCAAATGAAATAAAATAACAGTAGCCAAACTCATTTCAAAAATGTCTAACTTATCAAATGTTAAACTCGAACTTAAACTAAACAATCCTTGCAAGCTTCAAGAAGTGATGACTCAACTTAAAATTGTTCGAAAATATGTACCGTTCAACAAGATGCAATGATTTTATGCAAAATAATCAAGCAGAGTTAGCAATTTGAATCAAGCTCGCATTAAAATATATAAAAATGTACTTAAAGTTTTAAAGTCGCATACAACCACACACACACAAACGGGCATGCGTAGAGGCATTAGAATTAAATCAAGCAAAACATTCAACCACGTGTCTATGCGGTTTGCCCCACAGTCAATGTTTGCATGCGGCATGCGGCATGCCGCGTGTTTGTGTCTGTGTGTATGTCAACACGCACACCAAAACTCTGATGAAACGCACTTATACAAAGTATATACATGCAAAAGTGATATCAGCAGAGGAGAAACAAAATTATGTAGCACGGAACTCCAGTACTGAAGTTAAATAAAATAGCTACCCATTGCAGATTCACAGAAACCATTGGCGCTTTTGTGAGATTTAGCTTGACATTGTTGAAATGCAATCCGTGTTAGTATCTAAGAGATTAGTTTAGCTGTTTCGTATATTCCGTAATTTGAAGTGCACCCCCCAGTAACTTCATGGTATTGTTATCCGTCAAAGTCCGTCATACTGTCTGTCGGTCTGACCGTCTCTTTGAACGCAACTTTTTTCGACACCCAACGAGATAGAGACTTGACGGTGCCCGGGTCAGGCAAAGTAAAAATTTGGGGCTGGGAAATCGATAATATTGATAATTGAAGATTGATAGAGCCACATATCGCCCACTATTATAAGACTACAGTCACCAAATTTGGTTGGTAGGTTGTTGGCGATATCCTTCAAAGTTCGGCATATGACACGCCCACTCCCGCCGCCCCCAGGCCCCCTGTTCTAAAAAATTGTAAACGTCTATATTTTTCGCTGTTTTGAGTTATAGCCGGCAAAGTTAGTAGGTATATTACTGGTAGCCGCTTTTAAGAACCGATAACAAATTTATATGGCCACGCCCACAACTGCGCCCATAATCGGCAAAGCCAATATTTTCGAAAGTGTCAAGCGATAAATCCGCATATCTCCCACAATTTTAAAGATACACTCGCCAAACTTGGAATGTAACTGGGTTACCCTCAAAGACAGTGCAAATAAATCTTCAGACCACGCGCATATCTTCCACAATTTGTAAGCTAGAGTTCCCAACTCCTCTAAGAAATCGATAAAACATTGGATGGCCACCAAACCAATAGACCTCTTAGTGTACATCGATAAAACCATATACCCCACACAATTTGAAAGGAATATTGTTAGTAACACCCTTCAAAAATCCGGAAAACAAATTTTGAACCACGCCTACTCCCCCTCTATATTTTTTTTTCAGCTATGCCCACTCCCGCCCCTAACATTTTCAAAAGTCTACATCTCCCGTAATTTAAGGGCTAAAGTTAACAAACTTGGAAACAATATTAATGGATACTCTTCCAGCTATTATTGTTGGTTATCAACCTGTAACTAATAAGATTTTTTAAATATATCAAATTCGCCTGATTTGAATAGAGTGAGATAGAAAGTGGAACACAGGTAAGTATCTTGAGATTAGTTTAACTGTCCCCTATATCGTCAAATTACGTAGACGCATACTGATAATTTGATATGAGTTGCGCAGAAACCGTAGTGTGTTTCTTATAAATAACTTAAAAAACTTAACTTATATGTAGTATCTAGAGGTCAAATCGTGATTAATAATAAAAACATTTATTGTTGTTGACAATCTTTTCAGCATTGATAAATTTATTTCTACATGTCAAGAACTTATCTCTCAGATAATGGTCTATATGACAGTTATTTGATACAGTGTTTCGATCCGGAAAGCTCCGAGAATATAGTGCCTGTTCAAGTATGAACATGTGACGCTCTGAGAAGCAGATAGCGGACTCATGCTGCATTCTCAAGCGTAGGCACTTGAGGCTGGCACGCTGCACGCTATTTTTGAAGATAGCAGAGGAGATACACTGCGGTCGCCTTACAACCGGCTGCATTAGATAAGAAAAACATGTATTTAGGGTAAAGAATTTTGAATAAAATAATGGGCTGCTCGTCAGGGCAGTCAGTTCGATTCTAAGCGTCGTCTCATCGTGTCGACTACACACTATACGTGTTTCCCACAGTGCCCATAGCAAAAGCAGAATGGGTGCATTTAAGATGGGACATTCAGATATTCTAAATTTGTATTAAAATCAAATCTATTTTGCGGGTGACTACTTTATATATATATACATGTATATACATACATACATAGTATGAAGCATACTATACTATAGGAGCTGTACACACACACAACACGCACACAGTATTAACAAACGCTGTTTTTAGTCGCATTCTGCGCTTTTACGTCGACTGACGAGACATAGTTTGTTGCATAAATGGTAAGCCGCTTAGTTTTTGAGGACCAGTGGGCAAGAACATTTGCTAATTGGTTGACAGTAACTAATTTGCCAGTCCAATTATCAATTTGGTGAGTGGGACGGCGGGGACTTAAGGGTGCACATCAGCTTAAGTGACGCGATTGCAATTTGGCGGTTTGTGTTCGGTCCAAAAAAAAAAAAGAAGAAATGCAAAACTCAGCCAGACCATAGAAAAAGCAGCAGCCGTGGCAATCGATGGCATAAGGGAAACTAAATTGCCAACAGACTGTACACAGGATATGCACATACATATATTTCAATCAACTGCCTAAACACTTTTCAAATAGAGCAATTGAATTGCACACTCAAGAAAATCAGCTTGCAAGTTTTGTACTCTGGTTGGTAAATGGAAATGCGGAAGTGGGAATAGGAATGGGAAAGGGTGGCGTATGGGATGTGATTACTCGCTGAAAATAGCTATTCAAGTGTCAAATCAAATGTCGCGCAAGTGAGTTGCAAATGGTTGCCTGGCACTGGTTGCATTGCTGATGACTTTTGTCGCGCCACTTTAATGACATTTTCACAGAGTCTCAATTTGCAAATTTGTCAGGAAAGCAATGCGAATTGCGAGCCGGGACAGACCTTCGGGGGTGTTTTAAAATCTAATAAAATATGAATGCCACTGCAAGCTGAGGTAAAACAGTAACATCGGCCATAAATAGTTTCAATCCCTTAATTGACCTTTCGCATTTGAAGCTGTCACTGTTACTGGGTCGCGAATCCTATATTAGAATGTACATGTCGTATTATATGCTGTGCTATTTTGGTCCTTTGGAAATGGGTAAATATGTGGAGTTCAAAGCAAGCGGAAATACTGCTGATTGAAATAGAAATAGAAATGTATAAAAATAACTCTATTCACAGATTGCTTTTACAATCATGCTGATTTTGGAAGCCAAAATTCAGATAAATAATTCACAACTGTAAAAAGGGTGTGCAAAATGCCTAGTTCATTAAGTAGGAATTTCCAATTGGCTCTATTTTTTTCAAATAACTAGATATAGATAGAAGTTGCTTTTTATGCAAAAGCCAAATGCAAAGCATGTCAGTCAGCTTGTCCGTTAACTTATTAACATATTAACATACCACATTGAAATTACACTTGCACACACAAGTACACGCACTGTAGCTAAGTACTGTTGCAATTGGTTGCGTGCATGCTCTTGCATATATCTGTCAATATATATGTAAATATTTCTCATCAATAGCCAGACATAATTTGGTCAGCCACATTGCGTATACGTAACACAAGCAGCGCCGCATTACGTATACGCAGCATCGCCTCTCAAGGGTCATTAAAAAGAATAAATTATGCGCGGCATGCAAATATAAATATATATATGTATATGTGTGTGTGTGTGTGTGTGTGTGTGTGTGTGTGTGTGTGTGTGTATGTATCCCTACAATATTATTACACATATTCAAAGCGAGAGAAGCCAAAATACTGTCCGCCCACACTTAAGGCTTTACTCGCTTTTGCAGAATCGTTGCAGGGGACGGGGGCTTGTGTGTGGTTCAGGAATACCATAAAAACAGATTGTAATCTGTGTAAGTGGAAGTGGCCACATTTGGTTGCAAGCGTGCCATTGTCAGTGCCCCTCGCCTGTTGCGCGTGCAACACAGTCGAGAGCAGAGCATGCAAAGCAAAAAACCACAATACTTAAGAAAGCTATGGAGTGCTATTAGAGTGCTCTACAAAAGATACTACTTTGCTATTTGCCAGCACAAAATTCAAAATTATTTCGGCCAAGTTTCAATAATTTTGATAAATCAAAATGTATCTGTTATCCTGCAAACATTTAAATAAAATATATTGATTGGGTCTAACTGCCTCTTTATTCGTACATTGTGATAATAAGTAGACACCCACATCACTTCACTTCACTTTTCATAATTGCAGGGTATTCTAGGGTATACTGAAGTCGAAAAATAGAAGCCCGGCAACTGAAAGTGCTCTTAAATTTCCTAGTTGCCATATCAAGATATTCGCATGTTTTAGTGTTGTTGTTGCTATCGTAGCTCCAACAATTTTATGGGGCTTACTATAATATTTGAATGAAGTTTATGTTTTCCTCTCCATTCCTTGCTTACAGTCAGTTTTTCACTTGTTGTCTGTGGCAGTGGTAGTTGTGAAGTGACAACTGTCAGTAAACACAAGCCAGCAGAAAGCGACTTGATGAAATTTTAAAAATGTGCCATATGCATGTGAGTTTTGGAAAAGCGAAAGCTGCTAAATAATAGAGTTGGAGCTGTTAAGCACTGAAACCAAAGTAATCTAAAACAGACTACATGTTCCGTTGTCCACAAATTCCGTACAAAATTGCATGTGAAACATTCTCTAACAATTTGCATCCCTTTCGATAAATGCTCAGAGAGGCAAAGTTGACAAACAAAAATGCCGTAGTATCTCTTGCGTACAGAAAGCAACGCTGAGAGTTGTAGGGTTTTTGCCTTGCCTGTTGCTCCTTTTACAGACTGTTCGATTGTGTAACTTCTTCCT